AGAACGGCACTCTCTGGGCTTTCTTCAGCTTTTCTTACGGTACACTTCGGTGGTGAAATCGGCTCTTTTACCTGGAGATGTCTCAGGCGAGATTCCGTTTAACGCACCCTTCAGCGTCTCCGTAGGATGCTGTTACTCCTCCGGAGTAGCGGCGAGACTGTCCGACACAAGCTCACCTCAGTGGAAAATGTTATAATCCCATGAACCTCGGAAGAGCTCTGTTGTCATGTCAGGATCATCCCGTCTCTCACAGAACTGGGCTTCTCTCACAGAACTGGTTGAACTGTGTATCCAGCAGAACTCCAACAGCACTCCATCAGAACTCCAGCAGAACCGTGTAGTTTACAGATCTCGAGCAGAACCCGAGCAGAACTCAGTAAACCAGGAAGTACTGACATTTTAAAGAGCTGTTTCCCGGTTCACTTTTGGGAGTATTACCATTGGTCAGAACCGACCAGACGGGGTGTGTTTTGTGACGTAAGAGGTTAGAAGACAGCAAGAATTGTTATGGAAAGATCAGAAATGTTCTCACAGACAGAGAGAGAGTTTTGTTTTGGCGCGTTTCAGAAACAGGTGCCAAAAACCTCTATATTTATGTCTGAGAAGATTCTAAAAACATGCCAACAACTTGTTTTGCGTTTGACTCCAACCTTGGACCAACTTACACTTGCTCATTCAAAAGCAGAAATCAGAAAAGGCATAATTACTCTGTAACAGCTTTGACATGAGTTCTAACTTTACTTTGAGAAAAAATCATTACACAGTTAATAAAATTGATTAGTTCACTGCAACATCTAAAATGGTTTGAACTAAGACACTTTGATTATCAACATTTGTAAAATAGTAATGATAATAAAACAGAGAGTGTTCTTTTCACTTGAATCTTCAAGAGAGAAAGTCTCAGGATGGGTGAACCTGTATTTCTGGATTCAAATCAATGAAATGACAGTTCCTGTCCCACAAGGTTCTTAAGGTCAAGATTTTTGACCTTAGACTTTGTTTTTGACATGGGCCTAGTCCACTACATGACTGTAAACTATTTTCTCCAAGATCTTCGACACAAAGGGCAGTTTAGAAATGGGCCTAAAATTGGACATGTCTTAGAGTCAAGACCAAGTTTTTTAGTCAGTGTGTCACAACTGCATGTTAAAATTTGCTGGTACCTGTCCACTTGCCAAGCTGCCATTTATGATTTGGGACACAAAAGGAGCCACCGTGTGAAAAATCTCTTTAAAAAGACATGGTGGGATGGGATCGTTTGGAGATCCAGCAGATTTCATACGACCAGTGATGCATTTTAAAAAAGGCAGGGTGACGAGCTCAAACTGACTGAAAACAGCAGAGCGTGTGACAGAGATGGAGGGGTCAAAAGAAGGAGGGCTTATGAGAGCTCTAATGTTTGCAACCTTGTTGGTAAAAAAGCTCGGGAAGTTCTCACACACTTCAGTGGAGTTCTCCGGGCTGGCTGATTGTGGGGCATTAAGAATGGTGGGGCTGATGGTTTTAAAAAGCACACGTGGATTGTTAGAGTTGGTGGAAATGATGTCAGAGAAATATTTGTTTTTTTGCAGCTCTAACAGTGGACTGCTAGAAACGCCAGCTGTCCCTCAGTGCTTGGAAAGACACCTGTAACTTGTCTTTCTTCCATTTTCGCTCTGCTCTCCTGCACTGGCGTCTGGCAGCACGTGTGACATCGGGGTGCGCTTTTATGCGCTGACACCAGAGTGAGAGGACGTACACGGCGTTATGTCACTAGCTGCACAGCGAATCAGAACGACCCAAACAGCGGTTCTCAACCAATCACAGCTCGTGTGTACTCGCCTAAAGCTAGCAGTTAGCATCAACAGTCCGGTCAAATTATCGCCCATTAAAGCTTCAAAAAATTGCACAATTTACTGTGAAACGTAACAAATCAGCAGAGGAGCAGCTTTTGAGACGGCGCTCAGCTTCAGACAACGTACCACCATTCAGAACACGACTTGAGTCCAGTAAACAGAACCGGGTCGAACACGCAGAACCCCCGGTCCATGCTAGAGTTTCAAACAGAATGGATGCGTTATTCCCACTGCTCACAGCTTAGTTACACAAACAGATCGACAATTTCAGCTTTAAAATGAACACATTGACGTAATTCTGCATCTTTCTGAACACCGCAGCCATAAATCATGTCTGTACCAAGGTCAAAACTGGGACTTTTTTATGCCAACATGTCACATTATTTCACAATAACACAGGTCTCGGGTCACACATAATTATATCTCTTTAGAAACCATACGGGCCACCAAATATGTAGTGAAGCAGGGACCGCTTTGCTGTAGACACACTACTAATTAATTATTCTTAAAGCTAGTTCAAGCACAAAGAATATTAATTATTTAAATACAACGGATTATTTTCTTTTTCGAGTTAAATTAATGCCATGTGACCAAGATAACTGTGAGTGGATTGTTTAATCAGTGACATGAGACGCCATTTTTCTTTGACCCATCAGAATAAATGCGGTCATTTATTTAACAGAATCAAGATTTAACATCAAAACATGTACACTTGATTTGCTGATCTGTTTCTGATTAATAAAAACTTGGCACGCTTTACTAACAAGACAACAGAACATTTCTGAAGGCATCTAGATTACTGGCGAATAAAAAGTTTTAAGGGAAGGAAAGAGAAGTTTAAAGGAAGATGGATGAGGGAAGATGTATGTTTTGTTGACCAGAATTGGCACGCTTCTTTCAACACCAGCTCAGACCCCCGGTCCGCTTAGTGCGTGACAACTCGTGACATCTCTTTACCTTTGCAGATGATGGGTCAGCTCCGGTCTAGAGGTCCCTTTGCACGCTACCTTTCAGCGTCTTCAGTCAGGGTGGCTTGTCATCGTCAAAAGTCGTTTGGTGTTACTCCGTCCAACAGAACAAGCTTCCTTCGAAGTTGTAGGGCGTTACGCCCGGGTGAGTTCACAGCGAGGCACTGTGACTCCAGCTGGGATGGACGGATCCTCGTCTCACGGTCAAATCCATCAGCTATTGATTAAATCTGAAAGTTTCTTAGGAACTCTCAGGAACTTCAGTCAGAGGTTCCACTCAGAAGTGGAAGACTCATGAAAGACTGAGTAAGACTGAGTCCGAAGTTCCACTCAGAAGTGGAAGACTCCGGTGAAAAACTCTAGGAAGAATCCCGTCAAAGACTGAATAGTTCCAGGAAGTGTTGACTTTTAAAAGAGTACTCACTTCCGGTCACTTGGTACTTCCTGATTGGTTGAAACAACCAGCAGGGGGGTGGTTCAGTGATGTCAGAGGGTTATTAAAAGTCAAGAGAGGCTGCAGGAATGTTTACGAACGATTAGAACAGACAGAGGAATGTTATGGCGAAGTGAGAGGAAGCAGGTGCCAGTTGCTTCTTTTTTACCGTCTGCTAGTTTTAAAAACAAGACACTTTGTTCAAATAACTCGTCTCTGTCTGTCTCTTGACTTTCGACCGACATCACTACTCCTCATTCAGACAGAAGATCAAAATGCACAATTACTTTGTAAATAGACATTTAACTTGATTTCTAATTTCTAATGAGGTTTAAAAATCATTAATACTGTTTCACAGTTGATTTGAAATGAGTGGTTCACTTCAACATTAGAAATGGTATGAACTAACACACTTTGATTATCAAGAAATTCTAAAATAGTAATGATAATGTAAAAAGGAAGAGTGTTCTTTCAATTGATTACTTCAGGATACAATTAGAAAGTCTCTGGATGAGCTAATTTGTATTTCTGGATTCAAATCAATGAAATAACAGTTCCTGTCCCATGAAGGTCTTCAGAGACAGATTGTTGTCGGAGGCCTAGTTCACTACACCATCGCTGTTGTTGCATCGCTAGTGTCCTGAAAGGATGCAGAGAGGGCAAACATGAAGTGCACCAATGAATTACCGAGGCGGCCAGCACACACTCCAGTGTTATAAGCTTTTTGTAACACGACATTGAGCCCGTGGGCACCGAACATCGGGATGCAGGCTTCATCTGGTGACATGTTGAGCGAGGCAACAGTGGGTTCAACTGCCAACATACAGTCCAGGCCTGCTTTGGCCGATTCATGCATGGCCAAATGCATAGCAAACTGCTGTCATCACCAATTAAGGCAAAAATGCAGAACAGGAGGCCTTTTGATGTGGTCAACTACGTCAAGATCTCAGGACGAAGGCAGGTTAAATTGGGAGAGGGGGCATGAATGCTACCGTCGACAACTAAAGCAAAACAAGCATCTTAGGGAGGCTAACACGGTTTTTGAGTTTTAACTGAAAATTGGGAATGGAGGCAAAGCACTACTGTTGCCAATAAAGCAAAACAAACTTAGCCGCTAACAGCGTTAGCTCATGAATTTGGCTAAGAAATGGAGAGGGAGCAAAAAAAAAACCGGCTGCCTTGTCATGGTTAACAAGCGATAACTTTGAGAGGCACTTACTGCTCTCGTTGATGGCAATAGTGTTTGTACTCACAACGCAGTGATGAAACGCTGTAGTTGGGAGAGGAGGTGAAAACACCGTCTTTCCCCAACAACCAGCAGGAACACCTTGAACGAAACTAACATGTCGCAGCCTGTAGGAGGGCAGTACACTGCTGCTCCTGCCAACAGGCAACCAGGCGTCCAACGACGGTGAAAAGATCCAAGGTCAGTAGTAAAATGAACCGTATGCAAGAAGAAAAAGGAGCAGAGCCGCGGATGACGCCGGGCTATATGGCCCTTGGTTAATCATCCGATGTGTCACAGCTGTGACTCCTTTGGTATTACTACTCGAACGGCGCAGGTGTGCAGGGAATATTCAGTGCTTTCAGCACCACCCTCTGGCGGTCAGTAGGGATGAAATAGAACCGTTCAGAGGACCTGACTTAACCTTGGTAGATTTTGCTACCTGGATTATTGTGCATGAATCAAGAAATCCTACAGCTGATATCGTTATATCTCACTCCATGTTTCAATAGCTAGTTTATGATGCCTCTTTTCTTTAGGCTCGTTTTTATGCTCCCACTACAATCTTCATTGATGAAATTGACTCCATGTGCAGCCGCAGAGGAACCTCAGAGGAGCACGAGGCCAGCCGGAGGGTCAAAGCTGAGCTGCTGGTGCAGATGGACGGTAAAACAGCTGTGATGTTCACGTTTATAAATGAAGTGTTGTTTTTTCACTAACCTCTTTTTCTTCTTGATAAAACAAATGTAACTGATAAAGTAAACCAACTAAAGACATTTTTTAATAAATGAAAACTGTTCAACTTAACTTCTGTTGTTGTGGTTTGATGCAGGCGTTGGTGGAGCTTCAGAAAAAGACGACCCATCAAAGATGGTGATGGTGCTGGCTGCCACCAACTTCCCCTGGGACATCGACGAGGCTCTGAGGAGACGGCTGGAGAAGAGGATCTACATACCTCTGCCCTCAAGTAAACTTTCTTGTTTATTTTCAACATGTTGGAGTTCTGGTTCAGTGAACGCTGGCACGTCTGGTTGCCACTGCGTACCGGTTGATATTTCTGTGGTTTTTTGTAAAGTTTGTGAAGAGTTTCTGTGCTGTTTGACAACGGATCGGATTAAGATGTGGATCTGCAGGGTGTGTGCTAGAGGATGACACAGGAGTGGATTTTCACTCCTGTCCTGTCCTGGTCCCACAGAAAAAATTATGTCCTGTCCCAATCCTGGTAACACGACTCCTGCTCCTGTTTTTCATTTAATTTTTAGGAAATACATTGAATTTGATTTGATCTTCTACCCATTCCTTTTTAAATTACTTTGTGTTCTGCAGGTTTATTTCAAAAGATATGTCCACAGGAACAGTTCGTCTGTGGTGAAATAGAGACATTTATTGTCTTAATCCAAACAAAAACCTTCACTAAATGTCATAAAACAAATAATCCATGGCCTGTAGTCTATATAATGTTTCTACAGAGGATCAGCTGCTGAGTCTGTTTCTGGCTCTTTTGAAGGTCAGTTCCAGTAAAAACAACAAATCTAAACCAGTCCATGGGTCACACCATGTCTACCTTAGATGAAAGAACCCAAACACAACAAGTTGCATTTTACTAATTTATTGAGCAATTGTTTCCTTTAAACAGTGACATCACTGTCATGTTTTAAATTGTTTAAACAAACAAAAAAAGAAAAATACCGTACCAAGCAGAGAACAAATAAAAACGTGAACTCTCTGAACTCACTGATCCGCGGTCACGTGGTTCATGCAGCTCCAGTAGTTCCAAACAGTTCATCCTGTCAGTCAGTCTGAGGCTGCTGGAGCAACACAACACTAAAATCATCTTTTCTTACTTTACCTGTGTCTTTCAGTAATTACTGAGCAGCAACCAACTGATTATTGATTATTTCACAGACTATCCATTTTATCAAAGTGTTCTTAGAAGCTGCTGATACATTTATCATTAAATTATAGAAGGAAACGAGACTGCAAACACATATTTGTTAGAAAAATAATGTATATGCAATACAATGATCAATATAGCCATGTCAGTGTTTTATAACGTTACACACGTTAATAAAAGATCAGAGTAACACCAGTTATAAAGCTGTTTCTGATGTTCTCTGCAGGATAATGCTCCACCTTGTCCTCCATGCAGCAGTTCAGATCTGCTCCAGCTTACCTCAGAACATCTGGATGAATTCTTGATTTCTATAGAAGATATTAATTCAACCTTTATTTAAACAGGTTCGTCCCATTGAGCCACGAGGACTCATTTACAAGAGACTGAATATAATTGTTGTATTTGTAGTTTTTTATGGCACCAAGTACCTGATAACTGAGTTGATTGTAGCCTGACAACTATTGTAAAACTGTAATTCAATTATTAAAATGTTCATTTAAATGAAACTGTTTCTAGTTAAAATCATAACAGATGACAAAATAAGTGTTAACTGTGCAAAAATACATTTACAAACAATTTATTATAAAATATGTAAAATGTAAAACAAGCTTTAATAAAGTACTTTTACTGCCATTTATACTGTTTATTAATGACATCATCTCAAGTCAGCAGGAGCACCATCATCATCATCATCATCATCATCACAACACAAAGTGAGAGCTGTAAATTTAATCTGCACAAACATTTTCAATCAGGGCTCAAAATGTTGAACTGTCAAAGAAATGTGCAATAAAATAAACTGATGTCACTCTACAGGGACATTTAGAGAGAGGACAGTTCACAGAGACACAGTGAGGACGAGTGAGACAGAGACACAGTGAGGACGAGTGAGAACCTTGGGGTTTCACCTGGACAACAGACTGGACTGGAGCTGCAACAGTGAAGCGTCTACAAGAAGGGACAGAGCAGACTGTACTTCTTGAGGAAGCTGAAGTCCTTCAGTGTTTGCAGCAAGATGCTGCATATCTTCTATAAGTCTGTTGTAGAGAGCGCTGTCTCTTCTGCATCATCTGCTGGGGGAGCAGCACCAGAGCAAGTGACTTAAAACAGATCAAGAAGCTCATAAAGAAGGCTGGCTCAGTTCTGGGGACTCCTCTAGAACCTTTGGAGACGATTGTACAAAGAAGGATTCTTCATCAAATGAAGAACATTATAGACAACCCTCAGCATCCTCTTCATCAGACTGTCATACAACATCAGACTGTCATACAACATCAGACTGTCATACAACATCAGACTGTCATACAACAACAGACTGTCATACAACAACAGAGTGTCATACAACAACAGAGTGTCATACAACA